TACATACCAAAATTCAATTTCAAATGTAAAATTTAAAAATGACAAAGCATTTCCAGAAATGCTTTTTCATGTTAAGAATGTGGCTGCATTATTTGACTCATAAATGAAATAAGTAATCAATCATCCTATTTGCATTTTCATTTTCTTCTTTAAGACCGCACATTTTAGAGAGAAAGCACAGCGGACATTGCTTTTTCGTTTTCGTGGTCTGCCAGCAAAGTACTGTTCATAACTCGAAAACAAAAAAGCATTCTAAGCGGCGGGCGCAGCAGAGTGACGTTAGCAGCCACTCTTCCTCAGGTCCTCGCTGACCAGGCTACCCATCTTGTTTGGTAGGGGGCGCTGTGCACGTCTGCGTTGCATCACATTGTACTACTTCATTTTAAACGTGGTAACGATTTGCTTCCATATAAACATGCCAACCCATTAGAAATACTTATTGATCAGATCCATACAGAGCACCATGTGTAATGATAATAATAAAAACGACTGAACTTTATTGATCTCGTCAATGACACTTGGTAGGCCCCTACACAATTGTGGACAAGGACGTCACTTTGTAGACGTAATGGTACATAAAATTCCTCTAAAACTCACCTGATACTAGGATGCCTGACCGGAACGTATTTATACCCCAACAAATGGCAGATTTCAACATGATGGTGAGGCGTTTAAACACGAAACCAATAGCAAAGCAGACAGTGGTACTTTTAATTACTATGTTAATAACTGTGTAGAGTTCATTAGACGGTTGGTAAAAAATATTCTTATATAGTATGTTTCAAACCGCAATAAAGAAAAAAGAATGATGTTTTTTTTTACAATACGCCTTGGAATTATGGGTAATCCAGATATACAATGCGTTAGCGACCATGGATACCAAAAAGAGGTACTAAAGCGGATTCCAGAAAAGATAAAGCAAAGAAGAGCAGCTGGAAGAACAGAAAAAAACTTCCCAAAATAAACACGTTGTTTCAAAGAACCACAGAAGTTGCTGCTGCTACAGTAAGTGAAGACTGCGACCAGGAGATGAACGGAGTGCTGTACTTCCTTTGGGGCCCAGCCAGATAATGTTGCTTACAGGCCTGTTGTTGTGTCGTTACGCCATTGGGACAGATTGACCTCTGTATTTAACCCATCCCCTTGGGGAGCAGTGGGCTGCCATTGTGCAGTGCCCAGGGAGCAGTGTGAGGTTAAGGGTCTTTGATCACAGACCCTAAGTGGCAGTCTGTGGGAGTGGGGCTCAAACTCAGGATTCAAAGCTCTATGCCCCAACCACTACGGTTTTATCACAATTAAAAACTTCCACTGATTTTAGTTGGACTTTATGTATTAAAACAACAGATAATATAATAATAAGATTAAATTGTAAAAAAAATAAATAAATAAATAAAGTTTTCAATAAATTATACAATTATAGGCCTATAGAGTCAAAATACCTTTGCATTTAGGCCCCTGAGGCAATTGGCACACCCCATCCTCTGTGGTATGTCTCTAACAGCTTTGCTCATCTGACATTTTTACATTCTTATTTCAAAATAGCTAAAGCTCAGTCAGAGATTATATTTGAGGTATAAATATAGGCGTTATAAATGACCCCTCACACCAGGGACTGTTCTCCCTGCTGCCCTCTGGAAAGAGACTTCAAAGCATCTGATGCAGGTCCAGCAGATTCCAGAACAGTTTCTTTCCCACTGCAAAGACTGCTGAATGTTATACAAAATAGAGTTATTGAAAAAAAAAAAACTGAATGTTGGAACTGTAACGAATATACAGTTTGTACAAAATGTGTACAAAATGACAACAAAGTCTGTCTAAGTCTAAGGTATAGCCCTAAACTATAATTGTGCTATTTTAAAACATCACCCATAGTGTTCTTTGATCTAAACTACCCATTGAACCTCTGTTTGTATTTGCAGGGCTGCACCCCAGTCCTCAATTGTCAGCACCCTCTAACAGATTTTCTTCCAAATGTCAATCTTCTTATAAACTGTGATAAACTCCAACATGGCTTGTGGTTAACTTTGATTTATATTTTGCTTTCAATCAACTAAATCGGGTTTTTTTTCTTGCCATCTATCCATAAGTTTGGTTTGAGGAGAGCAGAACCAATATGTACCCTTTCAGAAAATCCTCCCACCTGAGCTGTGTATTTCTGCAGCTCTTTCAGAGTTACCTCCTAACTGCGTCTTTGAATATTCCTCTTCTTGCCCAGGATGTCAGGTCCTGTCTTGTTTTTTTTTTTTCATTTTCAGATGATGGATTGAACAAAGCTTTGTTAGATTAGTAAATTCCAAGAATATACTAATCTTGTTCAACATTTCCTAAAACTCTTCTCCCTTTCAGCTGAGATCCTTGATCAATATTATGTTTCTTCACTAACGTTCTCAAACAAACTTCTTAAGCCCTCAAAGGACAGCTGGATATATTCTGGCATTAAATTATAAAGGGGCGATTAGGGGGTTAGATTTGCAGCCAGTTACCTTTGATTTCATTTATGGGTGTAACATTTAAAGGGCGTGCATGCAAATGCAAATACCGTAGTTAAAAAAAATGTTTTTATCAAAAACTAACTGTCTAGAATGGATTAACCTTCTTAATCTGTAATTTACGAAACAGAAAAATATTATATTTGTTATACAAATTCAAGCTCTCTGTAATAAATCCCTACACGTGTGACCTTTTTTATGCATACATCCAGTTCATACATTTGAGGGTTTCATTTAAAATCTGTAAACACTTCTTTTAGTGGTCATAGTTAGATTCTCCACAGTACTTAAATGTAAAAAAGGAAATTCAAGAGACTTATTACATAAATGTAAAAAAACAAACAAACATTGACCGTACTATTGCATACGTTTAAAATGTATTTGTGTTTATAACATTTCAAATGTCTGCAATCTTTTTGGGTTACAGAGAGCTGTTAGCTATGTAAATAAAAGCAGTGCAGTGAAAATAAAATGGAATAATGTGTGTTATAAAAACACTGGTTGTGACACAGTCTGTCATCTTCTCACCCAAGGTGTGTTAAGAGATCCTTTCATCTCTCAGAGAGACACATTCACTGACATGTCTTGTCCTGTTTGCTTCCTCTTGTGCTTTGCTGCAGGGTGTGATTCCCATTAAAGAATGGTAGAAACTTGGTTAAATACTCTAAAAACAATGAAAATATAGGTTCTGTTGATAATTTAGCATAGGCTGAGGTGTATATTCTCTTTCAAACATTAGAAGACTAGAGTCACACAGAAAAGGTTGATATATAATTACTTATTTATCCACTTAATGGTATTTTGCATAATGATTATTGAAGTTGTCTACTCCAAAGTCTCCTTTTATGCATAATGTAAACTCAGCAGATGGTCCAGGCGCACAGTGGTAAATCGTGTTTTTTTGTTGCTCTCTTATCATCACAGGCTACCAAAATAAACAAAAACTAAAGTCGCTATAGAACGTAAGCACCTAGCTTAGACATTATGCCCCCTTCCATTGCTATGGTATGATTCTCTTAAAGATTTTAATGTGGACAGTTCCTGTGTTTCCAGTGGCAATTCCAGAAAGTTTGGATAGGGATAGTCAGGCAGGGGCCAATGTGCACTGAGGGGAACTGAAAACTGATAGGCGCCAAAAACATCTTATGTTCAATCTATACTGATCAAAATAAACCAACAGGAAAATAAATGTGCATAACATCTAGCCAAGTAAGCTCGCCCCACCCACCAGTGGCCAAAATAATTTTTGCCTGCGAGTTTGGTCTAGCCTCGATCAATGCCCCAGGCCCTAGAACTGACTGGCCAATCACAACGCAGAGATGTGTTTTGAATTGTTGGTTTTGAGGGCGTGGCAACAAAGCTGCGCGACGCTGAAGAAAGCACAACAAGGAAGATGGCAACAACTATTGAACAGTAGCATGCACAAAACAATCTTAAATCTAGCAAGTGAAAACAGTGATCCTTCCTCAATATAACTGAAGCTGAAAGTGCAACCGAACCCCATGAAAATATATATGTTTTAAAAATTGGGCCAAGGAACCTATCAGCTGTGGTTTCTGTACCAGCACACATCATAGTTTAGTTACCTTGCATTAGTACTATGTCTTTAGTATAGAGGGGTCAGGGCTAGTTCTGCGGGGCCCCTGTTTGCCCCTGTCTAAAACAGATAGAAGCCAGTGTAGCAGTTGCTCAGTTCGAATTCATGGACTGCGTCCTGCGAAGGCCAGTTTCAAAGCACGATTATGTCATAGGGCGGCGCAGAGGTCTGGTCGGATTCCAAGACTCCTCTTTATGCGGCCTACAAATATGTTCTTCTTTTTGCCCGATTTGAAGGATGGGGCTGATGTATCCTCGCTATCCTTGGACATCCCAGGATTCATTGCGAGACCAAGCAAGCCGGCTGCTCCGTGATCAGAGGAAATGGTACTTGGCACCGAACAGTGGTAAATATTGGAAGTTCAGTTTAATATAATCCAAGTTTGTAATTAGTTCTGTCTGAAATGAATGAAAATAGTTGTTTTAATGGTTATTGAGTCAGATATGTGGCAGGTAATGTTTAATTTATCTGTTACTGTGTAAATGGGTTTAGCTATAATTTAAGGACAGATTCTAATATATCTGCACTATGGGGACTATAAATTTGATAGGATTTTTATTTTTTTATTGCTGTTTTGTACAAAATGCCTAACTAAGTATTTTTTGTTGTTGAATATTAGAGATTTTGCAGATATATTTTTTATACATACATTGTTTAGATTTACTTATATCTTTCTACCCCTTTTATAGAATAGAATACAAAATCTCTTTATTGTCCCATAATGGGCAAATTTACAGCAGCAGAAAGATTACTGATAATGGCCACACAAATGTTGACCTTAAATAATGTATAAGTATAACATAATAATGTTATGTAAAGTCCTGCATTACCTGCAGCACCCCTTCTTGAATTTTCCCCCGTCACGTGACTTAGGTAATCGCTGCTTCTCAAATACCGGAAGTAGTCGTTGTGTTGTTGTCTCACAGCTGTTGTCATGTGATAGCCTGCCCTGAGCAAGCTGCTGTACACAGTAGCTTTTTACCTTGGTGTTGGTTTAAATTAAAAAACACCCTGGCGGATTCTTAGCTTTATGTTTGTAGCGGAAGAGTAACGCGGCTCTATTGTGAAGGAGAGCGGAGAAGGAGGGGTTGCGTAGTTTGACTCCTCGGACGCAGCAATGGGTTGCTGTTACAGTGGCGAGGAAGACAGCTCCGGACAGGTAGCTAGCGGCTAGTTGCTAGCCCACCGTGATTACTGCCTCCTGGCTTATTTTAAAGGAAACACATACTCGTAGTATTTCCTTTGCTTTAGTTTGTAGTTTTTAAACCATTCTTACTAAGACAGACAACTTATATGTTTGTTTGTTTCAAACTGGAAGCCCGAATGTAGCGTTAGCTTACTAGCCGGCGGAGCAGGCCGAACACAGGCTAAGTTGCTCATAAAGTTGACACAACTCGAAACAGTACACAATGAACAGGTTTAAAACGTTGGAAATCGGTGTTAATGTGAATATATACAATAACAATGCAAAACAAAACACGGTTTATTGACTTTGATTTACGCATGACATTTAGAGAAGCACTAAGTTTAAATATTGGATAAATAATCGATCATGAATTGTTGAGCAGAGAGGAAAATGTTTGCCATGACAGCTGCTGTGTCATATGACTGCTGACACCCGCAGCTGGTTTTAGTTTAAGGAAACCAGCATCGTTTTTCCCCTTTGGCTTAAGTTTTCCTTTCAGTTTTCATACATGTTCAATTATCATACATGGTCGATGTTGGCATTTGAGCTGAATTGTTTGATAATATTCAAAATGTGAAGGGATTTATATTTTGGTTTATTACCCGTTCTTTTAGTGAAGCTTTGCTTATATTGTACTGGCTGAGTTAACCTCAGAGATCTTAACTTTTCTATTATTTTTAATGCGCTGGGGTTCACCTAAACACCTAAAAAGAACATGTAGCACACACCTTTCAAAGCTATATTTTTGCTTATTTTAGTTTTTCCTAAAAATAAAAAATAAAAGCAATCCACTGGACTCGGTTTCCAAGTTTGAAGACATTTAGCTTCCCATCCAGGAAGCTTTTTTAATTCAAAATGTCAGGAATATGGTTGAGTTCGAGGTTTTATACAGTAGCCCAACAAAGGCTTGTTTTTGTTTTGAAAACATGCAAGTTGGAAAAGACAAAGGGGTCCACCCATTTGGAATGGAGGTCATTTTGATTTAGTTTGCAAAGGGAAAACAAAGAAGTGTACATTTATTTAGTCCTACTTGTTAAATAATTTTAAAAAACTACTAAAAACATTATTTTTTTTCCCAAGCCTTTCAGACTCATTTTACCAAAGGCTGCTATGATTGTATTTATTTTGTCTACATGCATTTTATATGGTCTTGCTTTGTATTTTATGCCTCATATTGCACAGCACTTTGTGACTCTTGTCTGAGAAAGGTGCTATATAAATAAACCTTACTTACTTATTTGGTGCTTAAAATGTAAAGGTGACAATTTGGTATTAAAAGTAATGTAATTATGTGCTGCTTGAGATACAAGTTCAGGTTATAAATGTGCTGACCATAGAGCAGATTTGTTCAACTTTATTAGAGCTTTGAATCTCAATCTAAAGAAGCTACTTTTAATGGCTGCCACCCATTTTCCTCACTCTGCTCCAGAAGAATGATGAGATCGAACCGCTGCTATCCCACCAAAACCCTGTGAGCAAACCTCCAAATGGGACAGACTGGACCACAACCAGTGTCCCCTCTGCACAGACAGATGGACAAGCCCTCCTCACATCCATCCTGACAAAGACTGCTCAGTAAGTCAGGTTTTCATGTGATGCATAAAAATCAACAATGTGTATTTTTTGGCAATAAAACTTTTTATTTTATCTCTTTCCTTTTTTTTTTCTTTTCTTTGCTTCCTTTTTATCCCAGGAACATCATTGATGTCTCAGCAGCGGACTCTGTAGTGATGGAGCAGCACGAAATCATGGACAAAGCTCGACAATACAGGTATGTTAGAAGTTTTGTGCTTGTTGAAAAAAAACTTACTTTGCTGTGACATAGAAAGCTATGATTCTCCTATTATTTCACTCCATCTGAAGATTATTAACCAATCAGATTTTTACGGTAGCTGAGTAAGTTGGCCACTGAATCAGGTGACTGAACCAGCTGCACACTGTGCAGATTGAACTCACCTGCTTCAGTGGCTGGGCAGAACAAATGCATGACAGAGAGATGACTTGTTGACTCCAGATCCACCCCATCTCTGGTATTTTCTTATGCCACCATTAACAGGTTGTTATTCTTGATGTTATCCATCCATACTGGCTGCAGGAGTTTCTCCATGCATTTATTAGTCCATCAAGCCATCATGTCTTTCCTTTCTTTTAGTCACTGATCACTGATTTTTGTAGCTTCTATATCTTAAACCAATTTAGAAAATTAAATTAGGCCTAAAAGGAGAACTTATGTAAAAATAAAAATGTCGTTTTGACACGTAAAAGTGCAACCCTGTGAAAATACAGGGGCCAAGGAAATGATTTGGAAGGAATGTGGAGGGAGACGATTTTAATCACAAAGGCTCCGTTCTCAACCCTAGCCTCCGATTAGCTAGTGGGAGTTGGATGTTTCACCTCTGACTGCAGTTTTGTTTAGACTAAGATACAGATGTAGACACTGTTCTTAAAAGGTTCTCAAAACACAGTTTGTTTCTTGGGATGTGTCCCAGACTAAATGTGTCTTAATTATATACCCAGTAAGTTTTGAACGTGTTTTTTTTTTTTTTCTCAGTACAAAACTGGCTGTATTAAGCACCAGTTTGCCTCAGAAGAAAGCCCTCTCTCTTCCCTCCCTAACAAGCCAGCCCCACCAAGTGCTCGCAAGTGACCTGGTGCCATACTCAGATGTTCAGCAGGTAAGCATTTGTTTTCAGCCATGTTGTTTTTCCCTTTTTGAGTAAAACATAATGACAGAGAGGCCTCATAGAGGTTTTTTTCTTAATAGAATAACATACATCAATACATAATTTGAAATTATTTTACTTATTTTGCACAAAAACATATTCTTTTTTTTCTTTTGCAGGTATCCAAGATAGCAGCTTATGCATATAGTGCAATCTCTCAAATCAAAGTGGATGCTAAAGAGGAACTGGTTGTCCAGTTTGCCATTCCCTGACTCTTTCCTGCGTACAGTTCCACCCATCCTACTCGCTCGTTGCCACTCCTGCTTCATCATCCTCCAGTCCACCTGTTTTTTTTCAATAAAACGTTTTGGTTATCGTGCTTTTAGCTCTGCCACGAACTTCTTTGAACACAGGAAGTGAATGCTAACCCCCCGGAAAAAGAAAAAAAACTCTTAATGAATTTATCCAGCAGATGAGTGGAGGAGGCTTTTGCCCTACGTTTATGGTGATCCGCTCAGAGAGGCATCCTCTGTGTATAAAACATGTATAACAGCCTTTTTTTCAGGTTTTGTAAAAGAAATGTCAATCTAAAACCTTTTTTAGGTTTCCGGGCTCTTCTCGGTGTCTTTATTTCTTTATTAGACTCTATGTTCCATCAAGCACACACACTGAGACAGCTTCATGATGATTGGCTCAGGTTTACCTGCGATAGACAGTTTTACAGAACAGACCTACAGTTGTAGTGCACCTGCAAAGATCCCGTAACATGTCATCATATCTGTACAAATAACTTAAAAGCCGAATTACTCCTCAGTTGGTTTTCTCTGAGCAGTAAAAAAAAGTCAATTTTAGCTTTAAAAGAGCAAATATCAATTATATCATTGTATTTCAGATCATGCAGGTCATCTGGTGTCATTCTCAAGAAAAAAAAAAAGCTGTTTTCATTTTAGCATCAGACAGCTTTATCTGTCAGCTGATGATGGTTATGATTGACAAACATGAGCTTTGGATACAGGCTGGTTGGGCCACCTGAAAACATTTCAGTTTGATGCTCAAATTTACAGATGCTGTTTGAATATCCTCGCCTTCTGATGAGCTGGGCAGGAATTAAACATTTTAAATGACGGGTAGAGAAATCAAAGGTGTCGCTGGTGGCCTACGGGGGTGCAGAGACTTGCAATGTATAATCATTACCTTCTAGCAGAATCTTCTGATTGATGACATCGATGGCTGGAGGGTCCTGTTGGATGATGCTTTTGTTTTTTTTTAATAAGACACAACACTTTTCAGGTCTGCAGTCGTTAGCTTTTTACTCAAAGCGTTTCCAGCTTGAGGTTTTCATATTAATCAGAAACTAACAGCTGTAGCACCGTAGTGGTGTGTTAATCTACGCACCAGGGGAGATGAACCTCAGATCCTTGGGAAATTATTTATGTATTTTTTTTTTCTGTTCTTAAATGTACATGTGTGTTTTGAAGGAGCACACAAAGTAAGCTGATCTGGAGTCTCTAAAGGGAGCCTGCAAGTCTGTGACTAAACCACAACTGATTAGAGCTTTGTTTTTTGCATTGGGTTTTGGCTTTTTTTTTTTTCTTTTTCTGTTTGTTACTTAAATGTGTAGAACATGGATGACTGTATGTTTGCATTTTCTTTAGGCTAGTACCAAACGATTCTAAACATCTTTATTGTTTGTTTTTTGATTTAATCAAGTCATTAAAAAGTTTCAACTAAACTCTCATGTCTTAATAGTCGATACATGTTCACTTCTGAGAGGTGGTTTATTTAGTGATGTTTAACATTTTTTATAGGTATTTCAATAATTAGAAGAACATTCAAAATGTTATTTGTTGTTTTACTCAAATTTATACTCTGATATTGCATAGATCCATTATGCAAACTGATACACAGATTTCTTGTTTTGATGATTATGGCTACAAGATCCTAGACTACTGTTTAAAAGCACAGCGATTTTATGGCTGCTAAACCAGTTATCGCCTTTAACAGTGTGAGCATGCACCAAATCCTGCTGTGTAAGAAATGGGTTTCTCCATAAAACCTGCCCTTCTTAGATTAATATACGGTACTACAAATTATATAGATATTACCATAACCATAGAAGTATAAAACAAGAAATGACATTTTAGTAAGAACAAGTCTGATACCACTTTGAATTACTATAATTGTGAACTTTTCCATTGGTGAACTGCAGCATTTAGTGTGGGTTCTGATTTCCACACGCTCTACCATTCAGTGGAGACTCTTCCTGGTGTCTCTGCAGCGGTTGTTGCTCTGATACCAAAGCTTAGCCAGGACTCTCTCCTCCTGCGTCACCGCACTGAAGTCCATCGTCTTTAGTTGAGGCAACACAGAAATCACACGATCCCTGCACACAGAAACATTTACACTGATTTTCATTTTCTTTTCATGCCAATATATCAAATTATGAAGGTTTGAAAAGTTAGCTTTAAAAACAGAATTTTCAAGCACTGCAATTCAAGCTAAAAAAAAAAAAAAAAAAGCTGCACTGTTTCAGAGAAAGCCACAGTTTGAAAAAGTTTTAGTAAGCAGACAGGAAAAAAGAAAACATTAGTAGTTCAGCAAGCAGTCTGTGTGCTGGGTGTTTAGACGCTGTTGCTGGGCAGACCAGGATATGAATTTGATCCGTACTTAAGCACCTGTTGCAATGTCCTGCATATACATGCCTGCACAGCATGCAGGTCTAAAAGGTTATCCCTCTTATGCCCTCTCTGTATTTGTTAATCCCAACAGTCGGCACTGCCTGTCTTTATTTAGTGCTGTTATATATAAGGCAAACAAAAGGCAACAAAGGGCAGACTGTATTTCTTTAAAGCTATAAAAATTGCTAAAGATAAAGGATCTCCTTTTAGTAATCCATATTAACTCATTAGGTTGTGTTAGAAAAATTGTCACCTGTAGGTCTTGTTTTTCTCTATCGGGTTTCCATGTAGAGTGATGGAGTATAGATGGGGAAGCCCACCCAGCAGGTCTACCTCTGATAGAGTATGAATGTTGTTTCCGTGAAGATATAACACACGGAGTCCAAGCAGTTCACTCAGAACCTGCAACATATTTGCACACAAACTTTTCATGTCAGTTTCAATCAATCATAAAGGCGTTAAGTGAAAAAATACAGTACGATTCCTTGGGGAAGTATTTGTATCATGTAATTTTTGGTGGATTGTATGTGGTAGGTCTACATAAAGCAGTTCTGCTTACTGTATGTGAATGGAATATGAAGCATGATTTTCTTAACTTCAATTAATAGCAATTTTTTTGTGTAAGTTAGCGCTTTGTAGAGTAATCCTTAACTGCAAGTAAAGCTGCATGTCTTTTAGATTAAAATCTTGGATGTTCCTCTTAGCAAAACGGTGTGAACCTGTTATATTGGATGGATGTATCTGTGACTATGAACGTTTAACTATTATCTTGGATTTAGGTCCTTGACTTTGACAAGGCCATCTTAATGCACAAATATGCATTGATCTATATTATTCTAGTTTAGTCCTGGCTGTAGGCTTATCAGTTGCTGAACATCTTCCCCAGTCTCAGGTCTTTGGCAGCCTCTAACAGGTTTCCATCTTACCGGTCCCTGCTGAAGATGCAGGGTAATGCCACATTTTACCCCTGTGGGGATGCTGTGTTCAGGGTGGTGGGCAGTAGGTTTTTCACCACTCAAGGTATTTTGCAGATGAACCAAAAGGCTGGTCCTCTAAAAAAGTTGTGGACTTCAAATTTAACTGCTTGTGGTGTTGTTCCCTGTTGTTCTAATCTTCAATAGAGTAGACTTTCTAAATGGGATGAGGATTTTGAGTTTATCAGAGTTTAAGGGGACAAATTCATATGTTTGCCATATGAATTTGTTTTTTTTTTTTTTTTTTACAATAATGTTCAATCTCAGGGCCCTGTCAAACCTTTCAGATTTAGACAGTGTATGCCCCATACATTGAATTTTCTATTTTTATTTTGGTCGTATACATAGCGTATTCATAACGAGTCCAGAACTTATGTCCAACAACAGCCTAACTTATGCATAACACATGGCAGCGTCATGCATAAGCAGATGTATGGAAGCGTGTTTCAACGTACTTTAGCGTGCTTATAATTTATACAAAACGTACCCATAAATTATCCAATGTATGTCAGTGTTTTTGCCAGATTTTTCGTAAATCAGGCATATGCTGGCCTAAATCGTCAAGGTGTGACAGGGGCTTTATTTTATGAATGGATTTTTACTCCAAATTCCAAATGCATCCTCTAATAAAAAGCCACAAAAGGATAAGACAAAAATGTATTGAACTGTATGGCTGTAAAACAGATAGGGGGTGTGAATACTTTTGCAAGGTGATGTAGCCGTTTTGGAAATCAGAAGATTATGCTTGCCTCCTCTATATGTGTAAGTTTGTTGAACGACAGGTCGAGCCAGGCGAGGCGTAATGGTTCAGCCAGGAAATGGCTCAACGTCTCATGGAGGCCGCACAGGTGACTGATGCTGTTGTTACTGAGGCGCAGGGAGCAGCTGAGGTATTTCCTTTCTATGTTTTTCTTTAAAGGTCGTAGACCACTGCTGGGAGTCTCTATCCAAGCGTCTAAAAGAACAAATACAGTAAATGCAGTAAATCTGAAATACTAACTGGTAATTCATGACATTCTGACATGCTTATAGTTTGCTTAATAAAAACTTTGACAGTAAAACAGCATAAATCAAACAGAAATGTTTTGTTAGTTAGATAAACTCCTGAAAAATGTATTTAACTATTTAATTTCAGTTACATAAAATCAATGATGTGGCAGCACTATTGGTTCAGTTTAGTTAAATTACCGTATTTTCACCACCATAAGGCGCACCGCACTAAAAGGCGCACTCTCAGTTATGTGTCCCATTTCTGTATTTAACACACACATAAGGCGCACCGGACTATAGGGCGCGTTTTTTATATACAGGTACATGTCCTCTACTACNCGCACCGCACATTTTGAGGAAAAAAAAAGACGTTTAAGTGCGCCTTATAGTCGTGAAAATACGGTATGCTACATAAGTAATAACGATGTAATGTTGTGTAACATTCATATATATATAAATATAATATATATAAAAATATTTTTTTATTTTGTTTGAAAGACTTTTTCTTTTCTCTTTTTAAACAAAAGGCCAATCTTATAGTGTGTATTTATGGATTTATTTAGTGATAACAACCTGTCAGCCTATTGAGGCATCTGAAAGATAAATCCACCGGAGCGCCACACATAGTTTTATCCATGAACCTGTTCAACAACCTGCAGAATTAGAGATATATCATTATCAATAACCAAGAAATTAATCATGGAACTTGAGTATATATATATTTTTAATCCAATATTATAATCTAATAAAATCAGTAAATTGTAATAAAATAAGTCTATTCACATCTTTTAAATGTTTTAAGTTGCCGGTTGAAATGTTTTAAACTAACTAATAAGGTAGAGTTACCAAGTATTCGCCGTTCACTTTGAACTTGTGGTGACTCCGTTTCTCAAGCTGCCTTTAAACACAACAGGAACGGTTGCCCTGGAAACCACGTAGTGCATTGTGGGACTTGTGGTGAAGATTTCTAGATAACAAAGACTTCATCATTCCTGGAAAAAAGCAACTTTATTCTTGTGTTGCTGGTGAAGATTCTTCGTCATCCAGTTCGTAGCTATTCCTAAAAACACCCAGGATGCTTTTTAAATTCAATATGTCAGACATAGTTTCAGAAATGTTATTCTTGTTTTATTCCATAGTGGCTTAACAATTTTTGCTTTTCTGGGGCCAAGTCTCTGCAGAGGACCAGACTTTATGTAAAAAAGTAAAAATGTCCTTTTTTTTTTTTGAAGGACACCTTTCCTTTCTGAGTTTTTACTGTCAGATCAAATCAAACTTTAGTCAAATAGCAAGGAATGCCTGACATATCTCTTAACATGCTGTGAGTGGCAGTTTTTTGAGAAATTAATGAAAAACTAAAGGTCTAGCGGGTTACTTAAGTACATCTCACTGAATACATTGACTACACATCTCTAACTTTGTAGAGATGAATGAGGCATTATCCTTAATAAGAAATTACATAAAATAAAAGCAAAACAGTTCTTTGTGTTTTTGTCTGACGGTATTAAAAATCGGCAACAAGTAGGTGCTAATAATTACTTGCCACTCATAATATGGCTGCTGGTCTAACGTATTTTTTTTAACGGCCCACAAAGCCTAGGCGGTGTATTCGAAACAGGACCAGGACGTCGCCATATTTACGTCCTTACATTTTCCGGCTTTTAATCCAATCGCCTTCGTCTATTCCAACGTGCGTTAAATTGAGGACCCCGATTGGCTGATTCGATCTTCCACGGATAGTTTAAAATTTTGTTGCGTTTGTTCAGATGAGGTTGACCCGTTGAAGAAGAAGTTGGTTGAACAAAAGAAGACAACGTCTAAAAAGGGAATAATTTTCGACATTTCAGGTAAATCCCTATTTAGGGAAGCTATTTATTCTGGTTTGAAGATTAGTAAGCGGGCGTTAAAAATGCAGTTAGGGGACATTAGCGTAGCGTTAATGTTTCAGCAGCGCCGCACCTCAAAAATAACTCAATGCAGCAAAAAAGTGGCGTTAATGTCAACTTTCATAACATAATTTTTAACTAATTGGATTGCACGCTAAATTTGAACAGATATGTTTGCCTATTTTATTTTTTATTTTCGTTTTAATCTTTTTTTTTTTAATCTTAGTTTGAAATCCCTTTTGGGGGCAGCCAAGATGTTACACCCGGTTGTCCAAGCTCTTCTCAGCTGGGTAAGTTTATGTAAAAATACATTAATATACAGAGATCCATTGAGATAAAATAACTCTAACACTTTCATAGAATACCTTTTGACTTTTCCTATTTCTATATGTTGTTTTACAGGTCAATAATATCAAGCTGTGGGACAGGGAGATCCAGATTAAAGATTTACAGGATGGGGCTGTCCTGCTAAAACTGATTGATCTGCTGTAAGTGAGACCGTTGAAATATGGGTTTGTTTGTCTAAAGAGGATTACCATGCCCTGTAAACAACCCTGTCAGGGTAAAACCACTCTGTCACGTTTCCTTGATTAGATGTCTTTAAAGATTAACATCTAACAGAGACTATTAAAGTGTAGACTTTGTTTTGATCTCTTTCCAGATCTGGATATTTAGGTATTTTAAGGGCAATGATCGAACAAAGACATGGAAGCTGTGAAGCCAAACACAATGTGTATTTGTAGATGATATTTTGCAGTATTTGGTTTAATTTTTAGGTTAAATGAGAAAAAGCTGTGTTGTTTCCATTTTAAAAAGATATTTTCTAAAGAAGATTAACTAAAACAGCAAAACTCTGCCATCTCTAGTTTTTTTCCATTCTGATTCGGAGTGTAAATCTTATTTACAATTTTTTTTAAAATTATTTAAATGTAATTATTTAAATTATTCCTTAGGTCTGACTGCACTTAAAGCATATTATTTTAAAAGAACTGGATAGCTTTTTATAGAATATTCCCCATTGGTACATCAAGTACAACAAAATTAAAGCTTATCTAGTTTCAGTGTTCTTATTAAGATGGATCATTAAAAGTGTACAATACTGTCTTATGTTGGACTAGTACTTGTTTTTACTACACATATGCAGTGGTGTCAAAAGTACACATGTTTGTTACTTAAGTAGAAGTATAGATACTGCAAAAACACTGGTAAAAGTTGAAGTGTCAACTTGACCTCTTTACTCAAGTAAAAGTGAAAAAGTATGTGCTCCAAAAACTACTTGGAGTATAAAAGTATAAAGTAACCTTTAAAAAAATGGCAAAAAAAACAGATGCCACTATATGAATTCAAAGCTGTCCAACCTTTCAGACATTTCGACATATTTTTCTGAATCCGACATTGTAGCAAGGCATAGACAATTCATGTTTAAAGTTTGAAGAACACCTGCTTGCTTCTGATGATTCCCTTTAGCTAACCAATCAGTGTTTGCGTTATATGACTCATCCAATTACACTAGTTTTCACTAGATGTGGATGGCGCCAATGACCTGCATTGGATCGTGCACATGACATGAAATAAATATTTATAAATATTAAATCGAAGCCAAGAGTAACAAGTAATGTTTGTTTTAAAAATGTAAGTAATAGAAAGTACAGATACTTTTGTGAAAATGTAATGAGTGGAAGTCAGAAGTAGGAAGAAAAATAAGCACCGGTAATGGAGTAAAGTATAGATACCTGAAAAGTGTACTTAAGTACAGTTGCGAAGTATTTGTACTTTGTTACTTGACATCTCTCTGCACATATGGGTATATTAAGTCACATGTCAAGTGACTTGGAGAAGTGGCAAAGGATCAGTTTCCTGGAATGGATTTTTTTTTTTAAGCATTTCGTTTTTTGTCCCAACAGGAAAAAGAAACCAATTCCCAGTTCCATCAACTCTGAGGATCGGTTGGCTCTCATTAGAGACTTCTTAGAAGGTAAGCCTTGTTTTTTGGCCCTCCTGGCCCAATTCCCCACTATCAAGTGATTGTATTACTTACTCAGCATCTTATAAAGTTCTCTAGAGTCCTGCCTATTATCTAATAATTTCATTTAAAGCATTTAGACGCACATTAAAGACAGAGTAGGCCTCAACGACTTAAAAATTTGAGATCCCTGCCTACCAGAATAGGGCCCTGTCACACCATGCCGATTTAGCCAGCGTATGCCCGATGTCCCAGAATCTCCTAAAACGCTGGCATACGCTGAACTTACTATGTATTTTTTTTTTTCAATTTTGGCCATATTCATAGTCTTTATAACGAGTCCAGAACTTTTGTCCAACGACAGCCTAACTTATGCATAACGCACAGCAACATAATGCCCATGAAATTCTTGTGCATCATTTCATGGGCATCATTTAAAGCTTCTCCCATCAGTCCTGTCTGCATAAAAAGATGTCTTTAATTGCGGTATTCATCTAGCTGCCTCTTCATGCTCACCCTATTATGGGGATGAAGTCTGGAGAACTGATGGTTTCCTCATGTGAACCCCCTTTTATACCAAAACGCTGCCAATATGCCATTAAACAGTAGCTGTAAGTTAGAAACGTGCTCAGTGGTCGCCTTTAACACGTCAAATACGTTGATAAGCGTTGGAGATAGGTTATGCACACGTTACTCATAGGTTTTGGATAAGCTGGACACCATGACTTATGAGTAACTTACACTTAACGTATGTCAATGATTATATAGCTTACCTGAAACCTATGCCCCATGTATTGCAAACACTGGATTATTTCAGGAAATTTTGAGTATGCTGAAAATTTCTTGATGTACTTGCCGTATGTTGACGTGTGCCAGTGTGTTTCAGCATACATCAGTGTGCTTGTAACCTATACAAAACTTATCCAACGTATGCCAGCTTCTCTACCAGATTTTTCATACATCAGGCATACGCTGGTCTAAATCGTCAAGGTGTGACAGGGGCTTTAGTGTAGTGGACCCAGTCTTGGTTCTCTGAGTCCCAACTACTGATCTTCCAAAGTTATCTATAGGTATAAATGACCAAATATTGCCTTTGGCACTACGAAGTATACGGTAAATTTGTTGAGAAATTAGATGTTTTCTTACAACCCAGAAGAAAGACACTGAACTTCATCCTGTGAGAGTGGCGCTTATTTCATTATGTCACCATATCACTCCACTTCCGGTGATTAGGCTCTTTAGGAAGGCTGTTTTTTTTGACTCTGACCAAATTATACCGCTATACATACACATTCTCCCCACTGTTTGAAGGCTTATATACGTAGTTTTTGGGACTGAACTGAACTTGATTCTTAGTAAATCCTTTGGACACAACTCAAGCTCCTCTTGTGTTTTTATAGAATAGCTATGCTGTTTTTTGAGGGAAAGAAATTTGCTTTTCTGTATTTGAGTAAATATTGTAAATATACACAGGAACAGTAATTTCCTTTTGAATAAACTGGGCTTGCGTTTTTTTCTTTTCTTTTCTTCATGTGACTAAGTTTGTTTCTCTTTTGTTCATTAGGGGAATGCAGGTTCAACCCGGATAAAGGTAGTCCTATATCCTGGGACAACATTCGCGCGGGAAACAACCTGATAGTGGAAATTTCTAAGGTTAATAAAAAAAAAAAAAAAAGAAAATCTACAAAGATCAAATGTGATGATATAAATGATACAAACACAAATCAAAACTCATTCTGATGAGATTTTCTCACACTCCCCCAGGTGCTTGTTTTGCTTGTCTATCATGACATGATGAATGAGCGCTGCACACTAACAGCATTGGATTGTGACATAGAGGTAAGCATAACGCATCCTTGTGTATATTATACAAAATATGTTTTGGAGTTTTTAGGAATATTTGACTAGAGTGGTTCTATTTCAATCTAAAATACATGGATTTATTGGTGAACTTACCGGTCATTGTGTGTACGTTATCTGTCTTTTAGGAGGGGCTTGCCAGTGTGACCTATTATGTGATGGAGAGTGAGGGTTGTGTTTATTTGAGCACAAAACTTGATGCATTCTTGGCCAGGAGATGTAAGTCGACACCTTTTACCAATAAATACTGTAAGAAGAGAAAATATTCTCTTAAGACAAAATATTGTGAAAAGCAACAACAAATACTTCAGTCTTGGTGTGGATTAAGATGTCAACTAAATGGTTTCAGGTCTCAATGTGGCCCGAGAATGCTTGGACCAGACGGTAACCACCTCGAATTCTACCTGTAACATGTCCAGCATGTCCTCTCTGTCTGGCGATGATTCTCCAGTTTTTATGCGCACAAGAAAAGTTGATTTTGTTGACTTGGAACAAGTGGCTTCCTCATCTGTCAGGTACTGGTGTGAATTTTAATAAAATCCACATTGAGGCTGTTTTGTCAAGCCTTGTACATCATAAAAAAACTATTTTTAACTTTTTTCACATTCACATCTCATTCTTCACCACTCTTAATTTGATTTCTACAGGAGTTCTCCTTTGGCTGATGTTATGAATACACCCAAATTTCAGCTGAGGAAAATGCAAAGAGCGATAATGAAGGAGAGAGAATACAGAGATAATTTGGAGAAAGAGCTCACCACCACGCTGGAACTCCTTGCCCAGAAAGGTAGCACAAATAGTTTATTGCAGTGTTTGCAGCAACTTTGACCTCTTATTTTTAGTTTTTAACATATTTTGCTTTTTTCAATTTCACCTTTACTCTGCACGTTAATTAATAATTTTTTTTCTCAGAATCCCACAACAATCAGTTGCAGTACCACCTAGATAAGCTAAAAGAAGAGCAAGCCAATCAGGAGCAGACTATCGCAGAACGACTGAGTGAGATTGAGGCCAAAAAGGACTCGTAAGTATTCAAAAGAGATCACATGTCTTACTATGTTGAATAAAACATCCAAGAGTGGGGAAAAAAAAAAAAAACTTCTGTAAATAGTGTAAAGGTAAAAAAACAATTTGTGATTTTTATTTTATAGACTGCAAATGAGCTTTAATGAGCTGCTAAAGCAGAACAAGGACTTGAAGAGTACCTCTGGTCATATGGAGCGCAAGGTGGACGAACTTACAGGAGAAAATGGGGAACTCTCCTTTCAGGTAATATTTTGAGAAGGCTCTAATTTCTTCTCATTAACACGATATACGTTACTTGCAGGTTGGTTTAATCGTAAATATGGTTGCATAGTTAGTAACAATCAGTAAACTTAGTTTGGTTTCTTATTTAGCTTTTTTGACATTTGAAGATCAAATTGGGTTTTTTGTTGCACACCTTATTTTAAATGCGTTATTTAAATATTATTAGATGAGAGCGGTTTGTTCCAAGCTGGCCTTCTTTGAGGCTGAAAATGCCAGACTGACTCAGGCTCAAGCATATGCTGAGGAGGACTGGAGAAACAAAACAAGCCACCTGCAATCAGAACTCAACCAAGCCACCACACAAAAGGTGAGGTGTCGTTTCTCGTCGTTGTTTGTCCAGAACTGGTGTAGTTTTAAGGTTCATATTTTTAATTGTGGTTCCTCTTTCTTCAGGAATTCCTGTCGGAACAAATTCAGATCCTTCAAGGAAAAATTTCCTGTTTAGAGGAAGAACTAAGTAGAGCGAAAAAGGAAGAAGTTGGAGAAAATATGGGTCCAATAATTGAGGTAAGCGGGGTTTCTTTTTCATTTTCCAGATCCAAATGTCTTTCTTTCAATCAATTCTACCTTTTGTCCATCTTTACTTTTTCCTCTTTATTGATCAATGTGTCCCTACGTGCTTCCTCTTCCCCATCTTTGTTTTTCCTCCCTGTTTTTTCAGTGTCCTCTTTACTTTCATCCTCCCTCATTTTCTTTGTTCTTTCCTTCTGTGCTTTTCTTCTTTCTCATTCCCACCTTTTTTGTGCCAGTGTCTGCATCCTTCCTGTTTTTATTGTTTTTTTGTTATTTTTTCCTGTTTTTTTTCCAGCTGTCAGATTTGAAGATAATTCACTAATTCATAGATTCATAATGAATATTTATATTTAAAGTAATGAAAATGCAGAGACGTGAAAAGTTTAGACAGACCTTGGAAAAATGCTATGCTTTACCTTTTAATCAGATCATAATAGGGCTATAGAGAGTTTGATTTCTGAAAGTTTGGTCTCATGATAAAAATGTTAATAAGATGTCTCTTCTTAAATCACTAGACAGATAAGTTGGAGACTGAAATTAACAGTCTGAAGAATGAGCTTGAGAGCACACTGTGCTCCCTAAAACAAGCGGAAGAGCAGATACAAAGCTTAACTCAAAAGTTGAACAAATGTGAGGAAGAATTAACCCACTACAAAGAACTACTTCAACAGCAGAAAACCCAAATGGAACAAATTATTCGAGCCAAAGATGAAATTATGGATAAACTGCGTAGAGATCTGGATGAACAGAGGCTGGTTCTTGAAAAGGAAATCAATGATCTTAAACTTCAGCAGGAGGATGCTGAGCACCAGAAAACTGAACAGGTTGCCAAACTACAACAACACATCACTGCTTGTGAGCAGGAAATTCTAACACTAAAGGAGAAAAAGAAAGAAAACGAAAATCTTTTACATCAGACAGATGTGAAAGTAAAGGACCTTGAGACGAAACTAGTGGCTGCTACCACTCTGCTGGCTGATAAAGACCAACAAATTTGCAGCCTAAACAAAGAAGTTCACTCACTTGCAGAGGAGAGTAAATCAAGAAGAGATGAAATTCAGTTAAAACAAGATGCACTTGATAAGTTACTAAAGGAGAAATTAAATGAAGAGGAAAGTCTTCATCATAAAATTCAAACCTTAACGGTTTGTACACAGGACCTTAGCACATCTCTGAAGCAGGCTGAGCAGGAAATTCAACTTAAGCAGGACCTACTGGCTAAAACTCAGCAAGAGAACTCTGAAGAAAGGATTGTACTTCAGCAGCAGATTGTAGGCTGCCAGGAGGAGGTGCAGAGGCTGAAAGTAGAGATTTTGGAGAAAACTGAGCTGCTGATAAAAGTCAAGACTGACAGCACACAACATTCAGAATCTCTTCAGAATGAGATCAACCTGCTAAAAGCTGAAATAGAAAGTCTTAATGATGCACTGAGAAAAGCTGAGCAACAGGTTCTGACCCAGCAGGATGAGCTGACAAAGCTCCAGCAAGAAAGCTGTTCTCAAAAAGAAGTTTTGCAAGAACAACTGTTTGCTTCAGTAGAGGAGGTAAAGAGCTTGAAGCAGTCAATCCAGGCTAAGGAAGATCAGATCCAGTTACTGGAAGATAAGAATTCAGAACAAGCGGACAGTTTGCACCAAGAGATAAAAGAACTGAAATCTCAGGTTGAGTGTCTTAGATCATCGCTTTCGGCATCAGAAGACACCTTAAAACTGAAGGAAAATCAGTTTGAAGAACAACAGCAACAAAGCACCCGGCACATGGAGGCCATTCAGATGCAGATGGTCGCATCACAAGATAAGGTAAAGGAGTTACAAGCAGAGCTTAACACTAAAGAGGAGCAGATGGTTCAGCTAAAGACTGAGACATCCACAAAATCAGAGTTATGGCAGCTGGAGATTGAATCTCTAAATGGGCAGATAAAAAGCATCACTCATTCTTTGGAGATTGCTGAGAACCAAGTAAAAACTAAAGAAGATCTCTTGGCAAAACAAGAACAGGAAAATGCTTTGCAAATTGAAGAGTTAAGAAAACACAGAGCAGTTCTTGAGTGCCAGGTTAGTCAACTCGAGCAGGACATAAGATCTAAAGAGGATGAAGTCCAAACATTGAAAACTGATCACTGCAAGGAGTCTGAGACCCTGTCTGATGAGATGCAAACTCTGAAGAGTCAAGTCCAATGTCTGAGCGAATCTCTAAAGTCTGCAACAGATCAAGTATTGGCTAAAGAAAACCTGCTGGCTCAGAAGGAAGTGGAAATATCTCAGCAGAAAGATTTGCTGGAAAACATGAGGGTGACCTCTGAGGAGGAGAAACAGAAACACAGGGAAGAAATACAGGCCAAAGATGAACGAATGGGTCTCTTAGAAAATCAACGTTCTGAGCAGGTCATTGTTTTACAACAAGAGATGAATGATTTAAAATGTCAGGCTGAATTTCTTAGATCATCACTGAAGGCAGCGGAGGACACATTAAAATCCAAGGAAAATCAGTTTGCAGAACAGCAGCAACAGAGCAATAAGCAAATGGAGGCCATACAGATGCAGGTGGTTGCATCTCAAGATGAAGTTAAGAAGTTAAAAGAAGAAATCCAATCTAAACAGGAGCAGATGGTTCAAATACAGATGGAGACCTCTACAAACTCGAAGTTCCTGCAGCAAGAGGTTGAATCTCTAAAGTACCAGATAAAAAACATTTCTAATTCTCTGGAAACTGCTGAGAACGAGCTTAAAACCAAAGAAGATCTCTTGACCAAGAAAGAACAAGAAAATATTTTGCAGGTCGAAGAATTAAGAAAGCACAGATCAGTTCTTGAGGAGGATCTGAATCAGTTGAAGAAAGATATCAAATCTAAAGAAGATGAAGTCCAAGCATTGAAAGCTAATCACTGCAAGGAGTCAGAGGCCTTATATAACGAGATGCAATCTCTGAAGAGTCAAGTCCAATGTCTAAATGAATCTCTAAAGTCTGCAACAGATCAAGTATTGGCTAAAGAAAACCTGCTCGCTCAGAAGGAAGTGGAAATATCTCAGCAGAAAGATTCACTTGAAAGCATGAGGGCGACCTCTGAAGAAGAAACAAGGAGACTGAGGGAGGAGATCAAGGCTAAAGAGGAACAACTTGTCCTTCTTAAAGAAGAGGGATCCACACAGTCAGATATTTTACACAGTGAAATAAAAGGGTTGCAAAAACAGCTTGATGATATGGCCAAACAAATGAAAACCACAGAAGAAGCACTTCAGAGGCAGACCCAGGAGCTAAATAAGCAGGACCAGGACAGTAATTGTCAGAAGGAGCATCTCCAGGAGCAACTGCGCTCTTCTGATGAACAAATTCGGAAGATGAGAAGTGAGATCCAGTCTAAGGAGGAACAGATAGAGCTGCTGAAGAGTGAAAATGCAGAGAAGTTGAATGTGTTACGTCGAGAGCTGATCAAGGAAAAAGAGGCTCTAGCTGCAAGCCTTAAAACAAGAGACACCATGCAGGACATGCAGTTGACCACCCTGAAGGAAAAGGAGGTTCTTTTTCAAGAGAAGGAAATGCTCTCGCTCAAGATGGTCCAAGCAGAGGCGGACCAGAGAGTTCTCAAGGATAAGCTTATAGCCATAAGCTTTGAGAAAGACAGGCTTTTTCAAGCCAATCAGGCCTTGGAGAGAGAGAATGCTACCTCTCATAAATTGAAGGCTGTGATGCAAAAAGAGCTTGAGAATATGAAACTGGAAAATGATCAACTTTTGAAGCGGAAAGACAAGGCTGAAGGATTGGAGCTCATCAACGAAGAGCTGGAGAAACGACTTGCAGCCAAAGAGGAGGCTGTTGAACACTACAAGGCTGAGGTTGGTGTAGTGACTAAAATGATAAAGTCAATGCTTCTGAGTTTTTGGGTTGTAGCTTGGTTTGGTTTCAGATGTTTCTCACCAATGTGTCAATTTCATCGTCTCAAATTTCCAGATGCAGAAAGCTATGAGCCATTACAACAGCAAGAAGCAACTTCTCCAGAAAAGCGAAGAGGAAAACATGGAACTCAAACAGGCTTTAGAGATTAAAGACAAGGAATTCAAGGCTGTTGTGTCCAAAAATAATATACTCCAACTTGACCTAGAGAAAGTCCAGACCAATGAGAGGAAACTCAAGGCTCAAGTGTCCAGTTTAGAGGCACAGGTTTGTACTGCAGATTTAGGTATAATACAGAATGTTAAGACGTTCAGTTTACTGATTTCCTAACTCTCATCATCAACCTCTTTAGCTGGCCTATGCTGATCAAGTCCTCAGATCACAGAATAAGATACATGGGAATGGAGGAGGGGTGACAGAGTCTGCTTATCCAGAGGTTTCCAGGAAGCACTCTGGTGTTAGCACTAGAGCACAGCTGAGGAGGTCCATGAGCTCTGACAGTCTGGACCAGAGCTCACTGGAGGACTCTCTTAACACTACAAGGTAAGGTCTGAATTATGACTGATTGGAGTGGGGGGTTGATAAATTGTTTTAGCTATTGTAAAAACAATTTACCAAGAAAAGTGTCATTATACTGAAAAAAAGCAATGGTTTCCATTTATTTTATTCTAAGATTTGCAAAATCAAATCTTGATTTATAGATTTGATATCAATAGACGGCATTTAGCTTAAACTGTACATGTGGTTCTTAAATTGCATCTAAAATAAGAAAAAGGCACTCAAATTGTTATTTGTTACAACTTTTACAACAGTACAAGTGACCAGCTGTGCTTGGAAGAATACCATTCAGTTTAAGAGGCTTCATATCTTATTTAACGGGTCTATGGGTTCTTAGCTTTGAAAATAAAGGTGACTTAGTCAGCTCAGATGATGATGATAAAGAATTACTTCATTTGATTTTATGGAAACTGCAAATAATTAGAGCAGACTGCTGTTCAAGAATTGCTGCAATGCTTTTTACTGAACCCCCTCTCAATGTAAAAAAAACATAAAAGAAATAAACTGTAGTCATGAGAGGCTTATAATGTAGTAATAGAAATTCTGGATAAGTTAATTTCAAATGTATTTTAATTGTAAAAGATGGCGCATTTCTTTTTTAAACTGACAAATACTTCAGTTAGAAATTTACAAACACTGCACCTGCTCCTACTGTTTGCGTAGCTGATCCCTGATTGCCTCTGCTGTTTATCTTTACCTTTTACAGGAAACTGTCTGCACCTGATGAATCGAGCACGCCGCTAGTTCGAAGCTCTGAGCGTCTAGCTGCCAAACATCGGGGACTTCAAACAGAGTCCCTGGAAACGCTCTACTTTACTCCCATTAACGTCAGAAGGACGAAAAGGTACATTTCATGCTTCAACAGTCGTTTTAGTGCATAGGTTTATATTCCTAATGAGTTTCTGGGAGAATTTTGGTATTTTTACAGAATGCAGGACACTACTCACACTTGAATGGGGGGAAAACAAATTTCCAGTTAAGGAATGAAACTTGATAATGAAATCTTTATAGATTTCTAAACACAATAAAAAAAAAGGAGCATTCTTTAAGTGAAACAAAGTGAGAAAGATCAAATTACTGTTAGGTTAGAAAAAGGGTCCCAGACATTTTCAGTAATAAAACAAATGTGTACAGTTCCCTGATGTTGTTGGTTGAATGTTTTCAATTTTGTTCAGAAAATGTTTTTGGTCTATTCCAAACAATATTCTTTTATTTTTTCCCAAATCAGTCTGTTTTAGTCACATTTACTGTGATACTAAAATTGTTAGTAAAAAGGTGGAGCTTGGAGTCTTTTTAATGCTACCCATTAAAAAAGTCTTAAATTGCATCAGCCATCTTTATAATTTAGACAACTTCTGTTCCCAAAGATATGTACAGAATACCATGATTGCATATCTACTCTTAATTTAACTCTTCCTTTTAAAAGCAGTGTTCGTTTAGATCGTAGTACCTGGAACTTACCCCAGATACCTGATCTTTTCCGAGGCCTATAGAGGCTTTGGTGACTCTACTGATTCAACGCTTCTTGTTTTAGTTCCCATCCTGAAATGTATGTGGGAAGGAAATGATAGCTAAATTGATTGTTTGTTGTCCTTAGAACCAGCGATGATTCTGATAGTGAGCTGAATTCAACCTTCAAAAATCCAACTTCCTCTGTCAAACGGCGCAGAACCACGCAGGTCATAAACATCACCCTGTCCAAGGTAGAGAAACGTCTTTGACCCCACACAGTTTAAACACTAATATTTCTGCTCTGGTTTTTATTTACTTATTTATTTTTTTATATTTCTAGAAAACACCAGGAACCGATGAGGCTGATGAGACCTTTTACAGTTTACATTCAGCTCACTCACACCCAAACCTCGCCCGTGCTCACAGTACCCAACCTATGTTGGATACACAGACCAGCAAGACCAATACTGCCAGTGATCAGCTTATTGGTCTTCCAGGCTACAGACGGAGCACTATCCAATCACACAGTGAGCTGATATCTTTGGTTTAAAACTTTCTTTAATAGTTTAATTAGATGATGTTTTTAAATGGCTTTCTTTACGATGCATCATAGGCCAGCTTTCAGCTACCAGTGCGCTCTGCGTTGGAGCAGAGAATGAGCCTGATGGTGGGCCTGAGGATTGGCTGAGGATCGCAGAGCTGCAGGCCAGGAACAGGGCCTGCCTCCCACATCTAAAGAGCAGCTACCCTGTAGAGTCAGAGGTCGGGAGGAAACGCATTTGAAAGTAAATCAGATCTGTAGCAATTAGTTGTTTAATGATTCCCTTTTATTTATTTCCAGACTGGCCAGAACACTGCTTTAATTTTCACCGATGAAGAGCTCCGGACTGGTGACCCCTCAGAAACAATCAGAAGGGCGTCCATGATGCCGGGCCAACTGCAGGACTCCCTTGTCTCCCATCGCCACTCCCTCATGGTGGGGCAGACAGGCGTTGGTTCTGGTTCCCGTCGCCTGTCCTTGATGCCAGGGCAGCTGCCTGCAAGACAATCCTCCTCCTCTCAGCTGAAAGGCCCAAAGAGCTCCAAGCAGTCCACGTCCACCTTGTCTGTCCACCAGACCTCACCTGAGGTTGTTTTGCTTGTTTCTTTTCTTTATTACATGATGATCGAATCAGACAAGATGCCAAAAAGTAGAAAAATCACTCTTTATTATTAGTCAGAGACAAAAGAACTTGGGGTTGATGAATACAAACTGAAAGCGTTTTTTACAATCAAAGTTTAATTGTTCCAGACATGCTAGTCTTAAATTATGTGAAGGATCAGAAGCGATTATGTGAAAATCTTTCCGATCTATGGCTAAAGGATCTATGCATTACTAAAACATATTTATCTGTTCATGTTTTGAAGCTTTTAATCTTAACTCCTCAAATTTAAGTGCATTGAACTGATTTAAACTGGTATTTAAAATGTATTGCTTCCTTCATTCACATTTATTATGTTGGTCTTTGTTTAAATTTGCAGAAAAAGGTCAGAGCCAGCTGCTTCCCTCGTCCACTCACTCCGAAGAACAAGAACACGAGCAGTGGATCATCCAGCACTTATCTCCAACCTGTCCTCAGTCCTGTGAGTACAACACGTGTGGTAACACCTACAGTTCATTACGTGACTGAAAAACCAAAGTATTTCTTATTGTTGTAGGGAGATCTAACCGTTTTCTTTAAATTAAATCCAGGCGGAACGTCGTCAATCTATGATGTTCACCATTGACAACACCCCAAAGAGCAACAGCTACTTAAAGAAAGGGCTGACCAAACTCCGCAATTCTACCAGGAAATCCCCAGGAAAAGGCCAAAAAACGCCTTTGGGGAAAAATCTTCGTAAGGCAGACGAAAACTCTCCTGCAGTGAATTCTCGTGCCACAACGGGACGATCTACCAAAGCCGGAACCTTTAAGTCACCACAGGCTGTGGCCAAAGTGCAGAGGGGATCTCAAGCCACCAGCAGGTCTGCAAAGTCTCCTGGACTGACCGCTAGTGCTCGGAAGGTAAACACACACAAAAAAAAATGAATAAAAGCAGCAGCGATCTAGTGTCAAACTCAGTTTTATATCATTCAATATAGGTGTGACCTACAGTAGAGTAATGAAGTATCACTGGCCAAAGCTCACAAGCTTTATTGTAACATGACAGCAACCCACTTCTTGCTTTTTTTCTGAATGGGGGGGGGGACAACAACTCCCAAACCTGTTTAAACATGGCTCCTAAAGCTGTTGCAGGGTGCAGTGTTTCGTTGCATACTTTTTTTTTCTTTCCTAAGCCAACAGGAGACATGATCTTTTCTTTACATCTTTTAGAACCAAATCCCAAAATCTGTTTGGCTTATTTACAAAGTTTTAAAGAATATTCAAGCTTTATTTTCCTGTGTTGGTCTGTAGTTCTATTCCATGCTTTGTTACTGCTTCTACTGTTTTCCTTCCACCAGGTGGCGTTTTTGCTGTTTTAACCTGTGAGCTGTTTCTCCTCTTGGATTATTCAGGATCTATCTTGTTTTATAATTTCCTTAGGTTTGCAGGGAAGCTTCTCTTCTTTAAACTTTAGACTATTCTCCTAATGATCCACTTTATTAACATTTAAAGTCACTGGCCTGTGTATATATAGATATGTAGGTGTGTGTGTGTGTATGTAAAGGATTCTATTTAAATACATATTATGCATCCAAACTTCCCCTTGATTTATTACACAAAATGTGTGGATAATATGAATAATGAAGGGGCTGAATCATTTTGAGACTCACAGATGAACTACATCAAGCCAATACTTGTACAAATTTCTGGAAAAAGTCCTACTTGCTGCAGCAAAACCTGTAACAAGATCTCCATCTGGTTGAACAGGTTTAAGAGTTTCATACATCATAAGAGTTTCCATATATTTTGAACTGGTGCCGCTTTCTAAAGGAAGAAAAAAAAAACATTTCTGCACAACTGTGTTGTACTCTGAGTTTTGCTGCAATGAGGTTCTGACTTGATTTTGTACAGCACTTTCTCAAACAATTTACCACATTAAAGTCAAACATTGTTATTAGGTTGCAGTAATTTTAGTCGTGAAACTTTTTTTTTTTCCAGAAGCAAGTGTTAAATAAAAAGAAGACCAAGTTGTCTGACGTCCAAGAAGGTTTAACTTTATTTTTTAGTTTTTCTTATGGGTGGTTCTCACATCCAGGTGTAACAGATGGTGTTCCTACCTAAAGGAGAATAAGAGGGTCTGCACGTTTGTTTCGGTTGCTCTAACAAGGATTCTACAAGGTTTAAATCTTGAATTGATGATAAACTTCAGTCTTACTTATGCCTTACACTTAATTTATATAGAAATTTAAAGGAAAATTCCGGTTTTTAACACTTTTAGCCCCTTTTCTGTAGTGTCCAGGATGAAATCGAATGATCGACACCAAAATTTTGACGATTGGTCCTGTCTCTGCTATTTGGCTCATGCAGAATCCCCCCCTGGCTGCTTCAGAATGGCTTTCATAGTGCATGTCCGATAATGTCCTTAAAACAACCTTAAACGTTCTTTTTTTAAAATATGCTACTCACCGGGTCGTCAGCGCTGTTCAATGACGTTCCAAAAAAAGTTTCGAAAAGCACAAACGTTCCCGTTGTGTTTTATTTAGCA